TTCTGCCTATTTTCAAACAAGTGGTACCCATGGAAAGTCCGCCCACTGCCCAGTGCCTCTGCATAATCCCTTAGTCTCTTTTTAACTGACCCCACTTTCTACAGCCTTCAAAAAGTGTGCGGGGGATTTCTCAGCCAAAAATTATGATTTTTTTTGTATTTTCTCGAAAATAGCCTCCCGAATCTGAGATTTTGGTTTCTGTGTGAAGAACGGATTGTGGGAAGCTCCACTGCATAAACGCTTACGCCCAATTTTTTTACACAAAAATTAGACCCTCAGAAAAGTCATTCTCGATATTTTTCTACGTTTTTTGAAACTTCTCGACTTCTCTCGAAATCTACCCAGCCAAATCTAATGAGCATTGTTTTAAGCATCTTTCAACCCAAAATGTTCTTTTAATCACTTCAATTTTAAAGAAAACAAAAGTAATTGATGAAATAAACAGATTTTGAAGTCATTATTTTGGTATTTAGTTTTCTTTGCTATAGGTCTGTTTTTGAAATAACCCTAGTCCTTCTGCATTAATACAAAAAATTCAACAATTACTATACATGTATTTCCAGTTTTAGCTGGCCTCTAGTATAAAAATCAGAATGTAGTCAAAAACGAATGTAGTTACACTTAACTGAACTTTTGCAATTAGAGGTCAAAGTCGAAAGCCGAACAGTTTTATTGAAGCTCGAATTACCATACATCTGAGTTACAAGTCTAAGTATTATTGAGTGCATTCTGACGTTGCATCGCTCTACTTTCGTATAGATTGGAGCCAACTAGTGTGAGAACTAGGCACGAGTACCGAGATTAACTTCTAACTGCTCGAGCGATTTTTTGATTAAGAATTTGAAAATGAGACAAAAATTACCGCAAAGAATGCAATATTTTGCCGACGGATGCTCTGGTTGAAAAAATAGTTCATTCGCCTGCTAGTTTTACTAAACTAACTAGCAACTTGAATACGTGTGGTTAATTTGAGAGAAATGCAAGTTGAAGTGTGTACTCGTTTTTCAAACTAATTGTACGTTGCCAAAGAACGCTTATTTAATCAAAACAAGTCACCCCTCCCTCATACTACATTGAACAACACTTGCACTTGCAACTACAATGTAAATTGCTTACAGCACGACCAAAATCCGTGAAATTGCAAGGAATCCAACAATCTTAGAGCTAACGCCATTTGAGCCGAAAGAAAAACGAAATTTTATACTTTTTTAAATACCTGTTTGATTAAAACAGGTATCATGAAAATTTATTGAATTGGGTTGTTTTTGAGACGCTTAGGGAATTTTTTTCTTTTTTTTTCAAAATTCGTTGACCGATTTTCGAAAATGTGGTACCCATGGAAAGTCCGCCCACTCCCCTGTGTGTATGCATAATGCCCTAGTCTCTTTTACCTTACCCCATTTCTACAACCTTCGAAAAAAAGTATGGGGTGAAGGGAAATTTTTAGCCAACGTTTTTTTTACAATTTCTGGAAAGCTACCCTCACAAATCTGAGATTTTGGGTTCAACGGATAGAACAGGGGATTCAACGGGTAGAACAGGTTGGCATAAGCGATGACGCCCAAATTTTTTGCACAAAAATTTATGGCCCTCAGAAAAGTCAAATTTTATGACCACCGGAAAAGTGAAACTTTCTCGAAAACTACCCTCCTAAATCTGAGACTTAGGTTTCAATGTGTAGAACGGGTTGTGGAAAGCTGCCCTTTTTAAGCGGTTAATAAAAAATTATGACCCTCGGAAAAGTCGAATTTTTGACTGTTTTTTTTGAAACTTTTCTCGAAAACTACCCCCCCGAATCTTAGTTTCTGTGAGAGGAACAGGTTGTGGGAAGCCCCACTGTATAAACACTTGCGCCCAATTTTTTTTACACAAAAGTTATGACCCTAAGAAAAGTCAAATTCTTGATTTTTTAACCTTTTTATGAAATTTTTTCTCACGAAAACTACCCACCCATATCTAATGAGCAACTTTTTAAGCATCTGTCAACGCAACAAGTTTTGTAATCACTTCAATTTTTAAGAAAACTGAAGTAATTGATGAAATAAACAGATTTCGCTACAAACCAGCGAAAAGCAAAATTACAAACTTAATAAGTTTACAAATTACAGACCCAAATCAAAACTCATTCAGTTACAATAGAAATTATTTACCGCCCAGCAAAATTCGGTAACAAGGCAACTAAACCGACCAAGCATAAGCAGACACACAAAAGGTTGACAATTTTTTGAAACAGAAAATTTCTCTCTTGAATAAAAAGCTCTGGCCTTTTCTAAAAAAAAGTTCGAGCACAGGACCTTTACCAGCTCAGGCGTAGTATTTTTCTGAAAGACCATTTGTGCCTGAAAAGCTAATACAGTTTGATTGTGATGTAAGCCAATCTATCATATGTTTTTCTGTAAATACTTTGTAAAACAAGAAAATTCCGTGATGCGGCAACTAAGCCGACAAAACCTAATCAGACTAACGATAGTCCAAAAAGTTTTTTGAAACGGAATATTTTGTCTTCAAAAACCTCAGACATTACTTCTTAAAAGAAAAGTCAGTAGTAACAGTAGACCGGTAGAATTTAGATTTGCACGTGAATGAAGTCTAACGATTCAATTGATTTTGTTAAGCAAGTTGTTAACCCGAAAAAATCTATATTCCAGTTTGATAGCGCTTGCTTATCGCAAGCGTAATTAACGGAATATCAACTGTTTCGATCCTATATTTTAACACAGAGGCGAACCTGGCTTTGCAAACACTAGCCAGAACACAAAAAAGCAGCATTATAAACTGAAATAAAATAGAAATAAGCCTCGAATCAATAAAACTTTGCTACGTTTAGGCTTCGAGCCCGCTAACTCGAGAATTGGAGTCTCAAGCTCTGCCCTCTCGGCCGCGAATGCTGAAAAATCGCCAAACACTAACTACAAATAAAACAGCTGCATATTGTAATAAATTGCCAATGCGATGCAGAAAGTGGCCCCAAATACCAACAGACACAATTTTTCAAGTAATAATTTGGAATATAACAAACTGAAGGCATCCATACTAACTGCCATCTTATAAATTGGAAAGCATAAAGCCACATCATTATGAAAAAATTATGCATTTTAAAAAAAATTGCGAGATAATTCGAGCAAGAAAATTCTGAAATCGAGTTTTCATGATTGTGATGTTGTTTGAAACAAATAGCCTTTTTCGGTTCATTTGATGAATTAGAAATGCATTGACTGTGTTAAATTGTTACTATTCGAATGTTAAAGCACATGCTATCAAAAAGTCGTAAAGGTACAACCAAAAGTGGCACCAATATTTGCGACTTAGGTTAGAAAAACAGCATAGTCGTACTATAACACTAACGCTCACTAACATCTTATTCGTAGCAACCACTTAAAATCATAAATTGCAATTAGCTTTTATTAAAAACGAATTTGTCTAAATTATATAAACTTTAGTTTAAGACCAGTTTATCTCCTTGTTTTTCATAACTGAGCTGTTGCTATGTTGGTCGAGATTATCTGATTTGAGCATTGCGTTGTATGTTGTGTTTTTCTTTGCACTCCTTATGTATCTTGGCCAGCTGTTTGCAATGGACCAGACCCTCCAGGTTACTTTCACCCACACCTGAACAACCCAGCGTCTCTTCAATAAATCTTGAATGAATGTATCAGAGACTTAAAACAACTGAAATATTTACGGTTTCAACAACTTGAGGTTTAATTTGAAAAGCAAATTTCGAACAATACCATCAAATCTTGTCAAAGGGGACTAGAACTGTTACTACTTTTATTGGTCACGAAGTCACAGTTACCATCAATAACCATCACAGCCAGAAAAAGGGTAGTTTTTGACGAGCCGTACTCGGTAAAATAATGCTGAGTCTCTTTATGTTGTGAAAAGGTCAAGAAAATCAATTTATGCGTCCAACTTCCAGAAAAAAGCAGTAGTTCTTACAGACGATATAGTCGTCCATCTGTTGCTTGCACGGGTATCGCAGCCATTCTGGGTTAGTCCTACAGTTCTTTGTGACTTTCAGATTTGCAAACTCACTCTCATTGATCACACTCATTCTCAATCGCGCAACACAGAACAAGAGACCAAAAGGTTATCTGAAAAGCCATTACTCAACTACCATGAGAGAAGCTCGATAAATTTTGATAGATCCTCTGCAAATCACAGAAACCACAACTTGTAATTTTATGCCTATAAAGAGACACTACCTAGAGATGACAGAATTTTAATAATATATTCTAATATGTCTATTTCGTGGACAACAGGTCAAGTGTTATAGTTCATTTATAGACGTCCCATTGGTAGTCGGTCAAATCAACAGATTGATATCTATCAATAAAGACAATCAGTCATTAATGTGTTTCTTCCATTATTTAAACCTTTTTTCCATTATTTAGTTCAAATCGCCCTCGTATCGATACAGTCACTTCCGATTAGTTAATATGTTCGCGGTTTAGATTAAACCATGGGTGGCCTTGCACTGTTTGCATGTTGCTGAAGAAGCCGCCCCCTTGCCTCGACTCTTGTACAGCTCCTCCTGTCTTGTTCTGGGTTGGATTCACAGCAGTGCTGGCTGGGCGAGCTACAAATAAAATACAAATTATCTGTATTAAAACTATATTTATTACTCGAAGACAAAAAAACTAATTTTTGTCAACATGTGCAAGGAAAAGAGAACTACCTTCCATATAATTTATGAAGACAAGAATTTTACCAGCAGGTAATGTGGAAGCTGGCTTGGAGGGTGCTCCACCCCCAAACATTGGTCTCCTTCCCCCTCCTCCTCCACCTGATCGTCTGCCCATTTGTTTCACACTCGAATTAAAAATTTACTCGAATATCAATGCAATTAGGCACTTTCGTCTAGCAAACAATCACTTCAATACAATTTCAATCAACGGTCTGAAAAAAAATCAATTCATCTTTCAGATTGATTCAAAATATTTTCTCAATGTCAACTCTTTTATAAGTCCGGCTCGACGCCAGATTTATTACTACACGCGCTCTTTAATTTCAATTAATTAATCAACGATATAATTGCTTCAATCAAAAAATGTTCGCAGTCCCCATTTTTATCACGTATCCTGTCCGTAATTAGTTTTATCCTTGGCGTCGGCCTGGATCTGTATCTTAGCTCTCTTGGTACTGGTATTTTCCCCTTCAATATATGATTGCCCTTCCTTTGTATCTGTCTTTAAGTGAGTCGCAACAATTTCTTCTGCGGTCTTTTGCCCCTCTAAGCTGCATGTTTGCTGGTCAATCTTTTCGGAAATCTCTTTCTCTGTTTTTGTAACATCTGCTGCTCCCGTATCTACATTGAAATCCTCATTGTAGTCATCGTAGCTCTCTGTGCTCATAGTGTGAGTGGTAGCTAGGGTATTTGAAACAAGACAGAATGCCGCCACTGTAATTCTCTCTTCAACAGCCAAGAAATTATATGTCGCCAGAGCAGTCTCAGTTCTCTGTACCTAATATACAAACTAAATGGTTACCACAACATTTTTTAGAGCATAGCAAGCCAAACACATGGCAAGCCAAGGAGTTGAACGGGTGACACATATCTTTAAAACGTTTATATAGAGACGAGAGACTAACGTCAAAGCTCTGAAAAGTTAGCAAACTTGGTGCACAATCAGGAATGGATTATGGGGGAGGGCGGCCGACCAACCTTATAATTTTTATGAAGCCGTCTTCAGCGCCAATATATACTGTTTTTCGAAGGGAAGCGCGCGCCGAAAAACGCAAAAACTACCAAAAAATTTTAGTAATTAGTAATCTCGGAAAATTAGTTTTGTCGATCTAAAAAAGTCGACAAAATGTAGAAAATCCTAGATCCGCCCCTGTACACAATCGCAGTGCAGCTGTGCTTTTAAAGTTATATTCAATTTTGTTCTATCTGCTAGCATTAAATATCAGGATTTTCAATCTTTCAAGGCCCACTCACCTCAACTGAGATGTTTGCATTCTTCAGTAACTCTCTGCAGTCTTGACGGAGTGGCACAATGTGGTCTCCAGTTCCCAACACTAAGATGTCTGGCTTAGGATGCAGCAAAGTGAATATCCGGAGGGAGGCTGGGGTGATGTGGGTGGGGTCTGACACCCGCCAGTGAAGAATTGACTGGGGCAGAAGAATCATAGGACCCAACACCTACATCACAACACACGAGAATTATAATCTCTAGTAAACTGAAAAATATGCCAAAAGATTTTAAATACTCTGATTTCGAAACGGCTGTAACGTGCTGTTGATATGGAACTCAAACGGAACTCACGAGATTCAATTTTTGATACTCCAGTTAAGTCAAGACGAGTTATCCACAAGGGAAAAGACCAACATGCGAGCGCTTAGCTTATCACAAAGTACAGATCATGACGTAAGTCTTTCTGTAAGTGTTTTGTTTTGCCGGTAGGTCCAAATTTTTCATTCTATCGTTTTCAGATTTGTGCAAAACAAGCCACAATACAAAAATGATTTTAAAAAATCCATTTCAACAGGGACACAGAAAACAGCAAATGAGTGAGGTTGGAATAGTTGGTTATAATATGTGGTCACCTGGCTGTCGAGATTGAGTGTGAAGCCCTTGTGTGAGAAGGAGGTCACCAGAGTGGAGGGGGAGGGTCTACCCTGTGCGTTTGGCTTGTGGAGGAACGTGATGTGACTCTTCTCGTACAGCTCATCCTCCTGATACGCAAGTTTACTCAAACATCTCGTCGTTGTATTTGTATTCCCCGTTCCAGTGGCATCAAGCACCCGGCTAATATTATTAAGCCTAGATTTTACAGGGGCAACATCAGTCAATGAATAAGACAGCTTTGCAGATCCGACTCTGCGAAGGCAACCACTGCAGTACATACATGTTCTCCTCAACATGATACGACCTGGACCGTCAAACAACATCTCTCAACTCAAGTTGAGTCTATCAATCTTTTACGAATAGTGCATCTGCTTCAAATCGAAATAACAACATCTGAAAAATTATACAAATACCAATGGCAAAAAATACAATCAACGCTGCGCTTCGAATATGCAAGACAAAAATAACAAATAACGGAAAAATGAAACCTTGACAGTTGATTTGAATACAAAACCAATAGTCAGTTGGCGAAACGTTAATGAACTCAGTAAACCAAAATCAAAAACAGATTCTTTCAAATTTCAGCTTTCGAGTTAAATCGAAAAAATAATTCATTTCAAGGCTCTTGGAATTGTAAATTTTTTTATGATAGCCAACTTTTTAAACATAGCCAACAGAAAGTTGGAAAAACTCTAAGAACTCCGGGAAACCAAAAAAATGATGCAAGTTTTAACGCTTAGTCAACACTAAAACAATACTGCGAATTAAGCTCTCCATTTACGAAAGAGAAAATGAAGCAAAAGAACTGGACTGACTTTCTTCAATACATGGGGAGGAACTTTGTATTCGGCATTTTTTTGTTTTTCACGAGAATTCAGGTACCACAAATACTTATAGGACTGGGTTGAGTGATATATCATATTAAAGTCCGTTCAGTCGTCATTCGAAACACATTACAAAATTTCCAAAAAAAGTGTGGAGAAAAATCGATTTGAAACGTTTGGTTTTTCGTCTAAACTCGACCAAATAAAGTGATGATAACTTGTTAAATCGGTCGTTCAAGGTTAAAAAACAATTGATTTTCCACGAAAATTTTAATTGAAAATCTTGTTACATAAAAAAAAACAATTTTGTTTTGAAAATTTTTTCATTTTTTTTGTTTATTTTTTGAAGACAACTGTTTTCGCGTATGCCTAAACTTTTTACGCTTCTATATAGTTTAAATATCACACCACGTACGAAAAAAAGACACTAATCTAGAATTTAATAATTTGAAGAACTTTTTTTGTAGTTTTTACGAATATGTTCGGAACATTCTGTGCAACTTGCACAACAACCTACATCCTTGTTATTTTTAGGTTTTCTAGCGGAAAAAAAATTGCGAATTGATCCAGTGTTTTTAAACTTAGTAAGTTTGGTGGAAAAAACGTCAATCATAAAAAAGGCTGAAATAGCGTTAACCTGATGTATTTCAAAAAATCATCTTGCTAACGCTCTTTCAATTACAAGAACCCTTTTTGATTGACACCTTTTCCATTAAACCAACCCAGTTTGCGAGAACTGGATGAATAGTTTTTTATTCCTCCGGGAACCCAAAATTTAAAATCCATTTTCGGACAAGTATAGCCGGTTACTGTGCAATTAGCACAGAATGTTCCGACCACACTCTTAAAAAATACAAAAATGTTTTCTTCAATTGTTGTCGTTTTTTCTGAATGTTGTGATAAAAAAATGTGAACAAAATAATAGAATTTAGGCATATTTGAGAGTCATAGTGAAAAAGGTCACTTAGAAAACAGTTTGAAGAAAAATGATTAAAAAAAAAGGAAAAAAAATAATGCGGAAATTTTTTTTTGCGGAATTTTTTTTTGAAATTTCACGCTTTTGATTCACAAAATTGCGCTAATAAACTCCAAAAACTACCTTTACTTGAGTAAAACTAAGTTTTCTCCTCTTCAATAAAGCTTAAATAAGCTAGTGCAAGTACCAACTACCTTACTAATTAGCTCGAACTTAGAGCAAAAATTTCAAACCAGTTTTTCTCGACACAGTGAAAACTTTTGAAATGTTTTAATGTCGTTCGAATCACGACTAAAAAGAGTTTAATATGATATATCACTCAACCCTGTCCGATGATTAATTGTGGTAACTGATTTTGCGCGGAAAACAAAAAGTTGAAAAAACTAAAACACCCGAATACAAAGTTCCTCCCCATTTTCAATGGTCGGAACAATAAGTAATTGACGTTTTTTAAACTCGCATATTTCAATCATATAATTTAAATCCAATTTTGAAGTTAAATACGTATCATCCACAAAATTTTTGAGTCCAACCGCCATAAAGATATGATCGTGAACAAGCTTTAAGAGCGCAAATATTTTTTTTACAATTTTTTTTCAAGTCTTTAATAAATACAGTTAATTACAACCAAAAAATTACAAATCACTTATTTCATCGACAACCAATTAATAACGTCAGCTAGCGTAACAAGAGCCGCAGGACGATGTGCAAGTAAAATAGACAGTTAAGTTGCATTGCAGAATCAAGAAAGCAAAGAAATTTTTAAGTTTTTTTTATCATAACATGCTTCCTAAAAATGATTATAAAATAAAATAGAAAAATAATCCTCTAGGTGTAGTCTTATTATCATCCGCTCTGTGCTAAATTTGAGTCTGAGTAATCGAAAATATATCTGAAAATGAGAAAACTTTGTTTTGTCAGAATCCGAATCGTGACAAGACTGATTCGATATCACTATTTATCACTTAGAGCTTGTAGAAACCGCATGGGTTAAATACGTTAAGCATTGATTTATTCCCACTATTTTAGTGACTCGAGCAGTACTCATGCACATTATTGTCGTTAACCTGCGCAACAAAAAATTATCAATTTTTTTTAAAAATCGAATTAAAGCGTTGAAGACAAATTAGCATTCACACAATCGCTGACTACAAGTTCCGAGTCTTGCCAATGCACTAAGCGGATGACTAATTTAATGATTGAGGAATCGGATGAGAGACCGCAAATTTTTCAACCAACCAGAATCCGTTTAAGTTTCTATTCGCTGAATTGTTTTTGCGCAAAACCGAAATCAATCCTCCACCACTAATCGAAACTAGTTCATGCAAAAGTTGACTCGTTTTGTATAACAAGAGTTGCTGATATACGTACACTAGGGATAAACCATTTGTTGGAACTTTAAAGTTCATTGCATTATCAACCTTCGAATTATCTTTAAATGAGGCAGACACTAAATTAACTACTACTAAATAATCTAGAACAAATAGTGTTTTTTATTTCAGCTCCGTGACCACACAAAATTTTATAAAATTAGGTATCCACGTGGTGAATATCCAATACACTATTTTACACCATTATTCAGGGGCGGATCTAGTAGGATTTTCTCGAGGGGGGAGGCGAATTATCAAAAAAAAATTTGACGACCTTTTTTTTAAGGTCGACCAAATCAGTGATGACCAGATTATAGTATTCTATTATAGTCTATAATAGCGTATGGCTATCATAATGCGCTATATTGACACGTCTGTTCTATTAATAGAATTACTATAATAGAACGCTATTAATCACAGCTATTGCCGAGCGCTGATCAAAGTAGCTAATATTTCATTGGCTGACGACTTGAAATCTCATCTTTTAGCTTACACTGTGTAAGTTACACATAAAATAACATTCTTTGCATATCCTTTTATCTGCAATATCTTTTAGCTTACACTGTGTAAGTTACACATAAAGAATTATAGAATTTTGAGGATTATATTCTGTAATCGACATTAATAGGGTCATCACTGGACCAAATTGATTTTCCAAGCTCTCCTAAAGCACTAAAAGACGCTGTTTTGGCCAAATTTGGTGCGCCGCAGGAAAATTTTTGAAAAAACGGGTCAAAAAAGCAGTTTTTGGGCACTTTTTAGAAAACTTCGACCAAAAAATTGGGTTTTTTCGGCGCGCGCTCCCCCTCAAAGTTAGTATATATTGGCGCCGAAGGCGTTTTTAGAAAAATTTTAGGGTCGGTCGGCCGAAAATGGATTTCTAAAAAGTACGAAAGGGTGATTCTTTGGGTCAGCAGGTGGTCGAACTTTATGGATGGTAAGCAAAAGAGTCGGACGCGGATACCATTTTCCAGAAGGAGCATTTCAGAAAAATTGACGCAATATTCAGAAATTTTTTTTGCTTCTAAAGTTCGGCAATTGTCTTCGATCATTTTTTCAAATGAGATAATCCTTTCTAGTTCTGGTTTATTCCCAAATGTACGCTGACTTTTTTCACTCAACTTCATCCGTTAAGCTAAAATCAATCTCAGAAGCCTGGTATGAGTAACTTCACAGGCAGTTAGTTCAATTATCTACACCAATAACACTTCAAAAACCAAGGTTTGATAAAAAGTTAACTGTTCTATTTCATATTTCAATTACAGTCTGGTTGAAGCCGCGCCAGAAAACTTACATTCAGCTCATACGTGTCAGTCATTTCGATAATGTACCACCTATTTATTTCCTGTTAACGTGGCAATGTGTGTTAGAGAGTCAAGTTTTGTCGGGACAAAGTTTGAAACATCCAGGGGGATATAAAAGAGGGTCAGTCAATGATGTTCGGATACTTTTCCGTATTTTTCGTGTATTTCTTCCTCCAGGTGGTTTAGTTTGATGTAGTACCACACAGCTCCTCCGAAGAAGACTGCCACCATAGGATACATGATTGAGGGGGGCACTGGGTCCTTAGGCATGGCGCCTGAAGCTAGCCTCTTGCTCAACACTAAGCCTGTACCATTTCTACTCCTACATGCAGTAGATACCACGTTACGCGAAATTCGAGACAACATTTCTTTGATCTGAAGAAAGCAGAGTTAGAAACGGTTGAAAAATTGCCCGATAGAAAGCAAAACTTGAACCGCCGTTTAATTCTAAACGAATCAATGAGTATAGGTATGCAATTGTAGCTGTTTCCAGTGCCTGTACTACCTGATCTTGCCAGCTTAAAAAATGTTCGGAATTCAAATCGGGCTAACAGAGCTCATATACTTAATGATTACCACACTAAACATACCGAACTCTGATTTTATACTATTAGGCACTTCTTGACTTTAAAAGTTGCCGAAAAATGGGTAACAATACAATATTTGACACCATTATTTATTTTCCAGAGCGAAAACGATATAACCGCCAAAGTCAAAACATCGAACTGTAAACGGTACATTAATAAAGAATTCATAATTGCTTTGAAATACATTTACATTTTGTGGACATGAAAAAAACTATTAAAATATGTACAACAAAAACATAATGACTGCATTTGAAAGGAGAGGAGATACGAAAACTATCAACGATCAAAAACATACAACCAATGAACCGAGAACATAACAGATAATATCGAATCAAATCTTCAGAGGTAAACAAAACGACACTAATTGCAATACTATAGCACCCAGGTTTTTCCTTGCAACGTTGTGGCTTCGATCGTCATCCACCTCTCACAGGACCTCAATAACAATCAATCGCCAACAAATGAGCAGCAGTTTTTAGCCTCGTTCTGTTCTTTTTTCTCCATTTTCAAAGAAAACATCATCCAAGTGGAGTAAAAATAGTTTATGACGTGATCGCAAATTTTCAATTTGATTGTATTTGTTCTAGCTTCTATTTTAGGAGAGCGTGACTGAATTTTGTTTCGATTCTCTACTGTGCGTACTTTCCAATCTCTAGTTTTTTGGACACAACTCGACTGGTGTTGAAGATGAATGCGTCTAACAGACTGGCCACTGTGAATACTCCTCCCACAATTGAACACAGAGCAGTCAGTAGATGACCTACAACAAACATCAGTACGTTTCAATCAAACATGGTCATTCAGAGAAACGAATACATCAGGTTATAACTGTTTGAATTTCAACAACAATTCATGACACTTTACGATTGACACCTATTGCATACAATTAACTCAAGCTAAGAAAACTGGATAGGTCAATAAATAACGTTTTTATTCTGCTGGTAAAATTAAATCCACGGTCGAAACTAAAAGTCAATCTCGCTTTTTAACTCTTAACAGATGATTTTGAATTGAAGACAAAGTGCATATATACTTAAGTGCATTCATAACTCTATTAACATTTATGGAATACACTTATTTAGTTATTAATTGTTATTTAGAGACTTTTCTGCTGAAAAAAAAACCAAAGCAACAGACAGTTGGAAAAAAGTCAAAGAAACTAAACAGAAAATATACTTGTTTTTCGAAAAACCTCAACTTTCGAATTTCAAAGAAAAAAATACATGTTCTTAAAGCTCTTTGAACTTTAACAACAATTTATGACTGACACTTTCAATAAAATTAACCCTATTTGAGAAAGCTGGAAACATGAAAATTAATTTCTCTTGTCAAAACTAGAAATCAATCATGCTTTCAATAGAAATCGATCATGTTTTCAAAAAATCAGAAATCGATCATTTTATCATCAAGAAACCTTTTAACAATGGAAATTAAATGAACTTAAAAAGAACAAAAAACCGCGAAGAAAAGTCAGCGTGAACAAATCTTTCTTTGACCAAAACGAAAAAAAAAATCATCAAGACCTATTTAATGGAAAATATCTTCGTTTAATGAATCATTTTACAGACAGGCGAAGCAGAGCTTCGCATTACTTGCGATAAGAAAGTAAATGACAGAAAAAAAACATCGCGAAAGCTGCAAAAAAACTGCGGCCTCGTAATTCTTTCCAAAAAAGTGAAAAGACGGTTTATTCTTAATAATTCAAGCCCTTCGGACGAGTTCACCACGTAAAAATTCGCTCGAATATTCCATTTTATCAGAAGAGACAAAGCTGCATTTCACAAACACAAGCAGAAAATGGCTAAAGGGAGCTTTGAAATTGCAAGAAAACGCTAAAAAAAAAGATAAATAAGCTATGAAAAAATAGCCCGCCCCTTAGGAGATCCTACACTCCGACGAACAAATTTCAGTTCTAATATCAAGTCGATTGCACCAAGTGCTCTTGCTGTCTTCCATACACCATTCACAACTCGCAGAAAAAACACATGGGCAGTACAAAAATACCAATATTGAGCTATTTTTATTGAGCACTAAATTCTGAGAAATCGAAGAAACCGAAAAAAAAACGGATTGACTTTTTTCATTATTTTTCAACTTACAACTCCGAAGAAAATACATCACGTTTAAGCTCTTCCAATTCCAAGAACCTTTCATGATACAGTTTTTTGATAAAACTAAATCGATTACAGAAAACTAGGTGTTTTTTACCAGTAGAAACCTGAGAATTGAAATTCACTTTCAAACCTAAAAGCCCATCACATTTTTGCGCCGTTTCCGCTTTCTTAAGTAGAGAGCGTAATTTGCCTTACGATTGGCATTGAAATGAACTGAAAAAAAATTCAAAAGTCAAACCGCTAAAGATTAAACTTGAGCATGACAATTTAAGTCGAACAAAAAAAAGAAACGACCAAAACACCCATTTGTGTTCATTGACACTTAATCAAGTCTGGACAAAATTTTATAGACAACTAAAAAAGGAAGCTAAATCAAGAGCACATATAGAATAGAGCATTACCTGAATTAAATGAGGTTGAAAAAGACGTCCTTATTTCCCTGCATTGAAACTACTGTACTTAATTGACCGAAGTCATAAAACACTGAATTGGCTGAAGCGCAACTTTCATGATATGAACAAGTAAAAAACCACGAAAATTGAACTCCATGAAAAAGAAAAAATCTGACAAACCGTTAGTATATATTAAGTATCAGATCATTAATAAATCTTCAAAACTCATACAAACAAAATAGAAAAATAAGTGAATAAATGTGTGAAAGTTTTGTCAAGAAACTGTGTGGACATATTTCTTTAAAAAAATCACGAGTTGAATAAGTGAAAGATCACTTCGTTCAGTAATAACTCTTGCGGGGTAATGGATTTTTTTTCAAGATACTTTCACATACCAAAGCTGCGCGGAGTCTCCTTGAGACGCACCATGATGGGGGAGAACTCGTACTGGAAGAATGTACCCGGGAGACCGTTGGCCAGTGCCTTGAAGTTGATCTGGGACTGATGTCGGGTGACAGAGTACTGGTGTGTGGAGAGGGAGGAGCCATTCACTGAGATGTAGGTGGTCGGCACTAGCTTCACATAATAGGTGTGCATCAGGTTCGTCTCTTTAGAGATCTCCTCTGTCCCATCTACACAACACAAGCATGGTTGCTAGTAAATCATACTAGTTACTGAGTCATTAACTCGTATGGAGAATCAAAGCATTGCATTTTTCATGCTTTTTCCGGTAGAATTGTTTGGCCAGCAAAATGATAAAGCCCGACCAGTTTTTTCTTAAACTAAATTATGTCATCTATCTGTCATATCTGATCATGTCAAATTATGTCATCTATCTGATCAAAAAATAGTTTAAGCAACTAATTTACAAGTTTGTTAAGCACTATTTGTGCTTGATCTGCATTTTTTCAATAGCCACTACTAGTACTTGAACTTACCTAGTGGGTTCTGCATCTGTGGATACACTTCCCCGAAGGAGAGCGAGTGGATGATGTGAGTGGAGTTGAACTCTCTGTTCGCTATCTTCTGGAAGTCGTGCACATGGCTGTGTGACTGCTCGTAACTAGCACCTAATTCACACCACAAGATATATCAAAACATTGTCAGAGATCTTTTCCAATCAATAACTTTCCGCTATAACTGGTTTCAATTATACTGGCTTGATAACACAGACTGAAATAAATTGCGTAAATCAAAACGGCCATTTACAAAAAAAATCATAATTTTACGAATGAATCATAATGATTTTATAGCGCTGCTCGAAATTCCTTTGAAAACAGTAACAAATAACCAACATTTCTCTGAAAGAGACTAAGCATTTACTGAATTAAAAAGTGCGATCTAATTTGAGCGAAATTCAGTTACCAGGTGTGATGTGAAAGTTTCCGCTAATTTTGCTGACACGTAGCACTCCCGCGAGACGACATCCCTCGTCTGGAATGACTTGGGGTTTCTCTTTTGTACACTGGCTAATACCCGAGTAGTCTCGCAGTGCCCAGCCTTTGGCAAAATAAGCTTTCTTGATATCGTCGCACGTATTGCAGCATTTATAAGACTCAGATTCGGCGCCGTAGCAACTACCACAAGCCGGCACCGCTACTTCATTCTCTTTCTTTTCATCAGGCGCTGCAGTACTTTTGAGGCGAACTGGCTCCTTTGCTTTCTCTCTTCCAGACAGATCTAAGAACGTATTTTAATTTATAACTCTTCATCTTTCGAACCCTTTTGTGATATGATTTCCTCTAGAAGCCGATGAACACTAAAACTTTTGCGATACAATACAAAAAAGCCACCGAGTCGAAAAAAAAATCGAAAACGTACAAAAAACTAGATCTATAAAAATGAAAAAAAGCTAGTTTTGAAAAAAATGGCCAAGACAATAGATAAAAAAAAATAAAATCGAACGAAAAACTACCCACTGTTAACAGAGCCGAAAATACCTCAGCAGAAACCCCTCCAGCAGAAAAATCCAAGAACACTTAAAAACTAATAAAAAAAATCCCTCCCCCTCAAAAGAAACGCACGCACACAAAAACGTTTTTCGCTCAACAAACGACGCAATATGAAGCCACTGCGCCAATATAATAAGCCGCAACCTGTTAACTTAGAAAACGAAAAGGAAAAAATGAAGATTTAACAAATAGAGTTGATAAAATTACAACCAATTTAAGAAACCAATTTCGTCACAGAGGCGAAGCTGCAACTTCGCAAACACGCGCGAAAAAATAGCAAAATTCGGAAGCTTTAAAATGCACAAAAACTCAAAACTTTGCATACAACTTTTTGCATTGAACCAAATTGCATATAAATTATGCATTTCAAAAATCTCGTGAAGTATATCGACTGTTGTATAAAACAAATATCTTCTTTTCGGTTTAACTGATGAAATAAAAAGCATGAACTGTGTTAGCTTATTAGTAATCAAATATCAACGCACTTGTAAATATACTGCTAATGCAGCCTTCAAACTCAAAAGTGCCACCGAAAGTGACATTTTTAATTGCGACGTAGGTTGGAAAAAAGTAGCATCGTACTATTAAACTACGCTACGCACGTGTAAAAAGAGAGGAAAATTAACATGCGATCATGCTCAAAATTTGTCTTTTGCAGTATTTCTAACAGGGCCGACCAGGAGAAGGGTACTGTGAAGGGCACGGTGCAACACACTTACTATTGCAAAAGTAACACATAGACGAAGCGGAGCTTCGCAACACTGGCGATACAGCACAAAGACAGCGTTGTAAATTAGCAGGCAGAAAATGAGACGGAGGCAACTATGTAGCGAATGATCTTCATTTTGATGAAAATATGCCAAGAAAAACCATCAATCACTGCCGTTAAAGAACAACAATCACTGCCGTTAATGTGGCAATTAAGCTAACACTGCTTGGCTTAATTCGCCAATCGAGCCGAACACAAAATGATGTCATGAAAATTTTGAGCTATAATTTTTACGCCCCATTTTTTGAAACACAAAAGCATAAACCGAACCCATTCAAGTAAAAAAAGCTAGTTATACAAAATCGAAGTTGGTAAACATACAAGCTACAGTACGACTTTCACTTATAGTTAGAATTGGTTAAACAAGATGAACATTTCCCAAAAAAATAATTTCCACAGTAGCCTAGGTCCGGTCGGGACTCGGTCCCACGACCTTATCTTCCAAAGGCGCGTGCTTTTCCTGTGAACCAAATGGGAAGAGGCCTGAAAAATGTCGAGGTTGCATAATAAATCCTGGTATACAAAAACACATAATTGAAAAGAAAACAAGGTCCGGTCGGGTCTGATACCCAGACCTCAAAGTACAAAGGCAACCGCGTTACCTCTAGCCCAAGTAAGAAGGGGTCTAGAAGTTGCTTAGGCGCACTAAATAAGCAACTTCACAGTTTCTTAGATGTGTAAGAAAAATTGTTTACGGGAAAAAAGTCTAGTTCCCGATTACAAGTCACTTGCTCTCGCAAGTGAAATAATTCAATGGAATTAAAAAAGCCTGATGAATGACAAATAAAGTAAAAAGACATACCGAGACTGGTTTTGAATATTTCGTGGTTTATGTCGAAGTGCTGTTCCCCACTGACGTCTACTGCATCCACTGTCAACATCTGACACGCCATTCGTGGAAACGTCACATTGAACCTAAATCACACAGACCCATCTGACATATACAGCTGCTAAGCCTACATCGAGCCTTTATACAAAAAAGAAGAACCATTTTTTTGCTGAGTACTCTTGTCTGAAACTGATTTTAACAACACGCCGATTTTATCAACTTTTCTGCGAGCAACACATGACCATCAATTGATTTGAAATTTTCGTCAATTAAAAATCGGTATACATAGCATTTCAGTATTGCTATCAATATATTCTGTTCACTTGTTTGTCAAGGTGGCCATACCTAATTTGAAGTCTGGCATCTTTGTTCACATCCACACTTAGCTCTGGCATGAGGTCCACTCGGAAGTAGAAGTGCAGCTCTAGCATGAACAGAAACAGCATCAGCATACAACTCACTGCAGTCACCACTCCGCCACTGATGGTCTTGATTCTAAAGTCCTCCAAGGTCTTCGGGTAGGCATCTAGCAGACGCAGGTTGTCCAGAACCCTCTCCATTCGTAATCACTCTTCTCCTTGCAGAGGTATAAACTATCAGAGCAAATGTTCCCTTTATATGTCAACGTTAAACAGACTACTATGGCCTCAAAAACTATCACATGTCAGTAATGGAGAGCTCTATTGATAATATTTAACAGACTAAATCTGAAAAGGCACATATTATACCCATAACTAATCATAGAAAAAACTAATAAATTTAGTTTTCAATAAATGGCTGATAAAAAAAGGATCACAAATTGTTTCCTTAGATCTATGATCAATTGAAACGGTCATGGACATCGTGCTCAATGTAATTTCTTCGTTTGTGAGAAAAGGTCTGCGTCTACTTTTATTTGTGTCACAATTTTCATATGACTTCCAAGTTGTTCGAAGGGCCAGGATGACTGATACAGATATATTCAAAAGGGAACTAAACTGCACAGCACCACAACTTCTTTCATAAATGTTTGTGGTTGGGTGGTTTTTATTGACTTGATAAAAATTATCGAGTAGTAAAATGCGACAACGGAAACAATAAAACAAAGCACTTTTCAATTCATGGAACTGCTTTTTACTACTGGATACAAGATCCAAACATATGCTGATAAATTTAGGCGAAGGACTCGTAAAGGTAGGCACAGACAAAAATATGTAATTAAACCTCAGGTCAGCATCAGGGAAGACAAATTAAAACGCGAGGAAGCACAACTGTTTTTCAAATATGGAATCACTGCATCAGATGTCTCGATTCATCGATTGGTCAAAAATTTCGGTGTTGCAGATAGTCCAGATATGCAGTGATAAATGATTGAAAAACAACGTTTTCCTTAAAATTAAACAGACAAAACAGCAATGATAATAAAGCACAACAAAATTGTCATTTTCTGCTCACATGTCGATGTAGCCTTTTACAGTTTCACGTTTAATTTGATATCTCTCTCTATTTCTTCACTTGGCAGCATTTCCTCGCATCATTCATTCTACTGCGTCCTCATACACCATTGGCGGCTGTAGTTGCACTGGGATTGCCACCCAAACCCAACTCCTGCTTCAGTTTGTTCAGCTCCGCTCTCACTTCATCCTCCCGACTGATCTTCTCAATCTGAACACACCGACGCAAATTTGAAACGATTTGAAAGGTTAGGTCAAATATTCAGTAGAATATACATATAAAATAACGACATAACATCAGTTACTAATGATAGAGCAAGAAAAAAAACTATATTTTGTTTGCGTGAAAAACGACTGAAGTAGAAGTTGCCTGGTTTCGAGCTTTTTAGCTTCTAAATTTGACTAACCGCTTCCTTTTCCAGTGTCTCGCCTGACTTCTGCTTCTTTTTCAGTGTGCCCATCTCCTTCAGTCTCTGAAACACAGTACCCCTGAGTGAATCACAGACAACATGCATAGAATATCAAATACGATGAGAAACAAGAATGTATGCATCGCTTATCAAGTGCAACTGTCTCTACCTTTTCCAGCGTCTTAATTCGGTTTTTCTTCGACTTCTCCGAGGATGCCCCTCCGCTGTCGCCCATTGGAGCCGCACCTGGTACATACGAGCGCGATGGGGCTGCTGAACCAAGTCCACGCCCAGCTTGAGAGGAATCGCCTCCTGACCTGTAAGTGATGTTGTACGCTCCTCCCGAAGAGCTACCATTCATGGCCATAGCCGCCGCTCTTTCTCTGTCCGGTAAATCATTCAAGTCCAACTGAACAAAAAAATATTCCTCGATCCCAACAAACATACCACTCATTAATGATGCAAAATTCGTTCAAAAATAGCCTTCGAATGTTTGGCAAAAACATTCATCGAACGTTCGAAGATTCGGTAATTCTGGTTTTTTCAGTATTCTTGAGAAAAACGAAGATCTATATTTAATTTTAAATTTTCCAATGTTAATGCCCAACAAGAGGCCGGCTAAAGCTGAAAATTTTTTGTACTGATGCGGAAGGACAAGGATAATTTCAAAAACTGGGCTTCAACCAAAACCTTAGTTGGCCCTTTTATAAAATAACTAGGAGTGAATTTTTTGGAGTACAATTTGGCAGGATAACCTTCGATTCAAAAAAAATTAGTTTCAAAAAATGGTCAAAAATCAAAATATAATTTTTTCCAAGGGCCATTATTTTTTGTGGAAAAAAAATCTAGGCTTAACCGCATATGCAGGGGAGCTTCAAACAAAAGGAATTATGACAATATATTTTTGCCGCCCAGTAAAAAAAACCTCGAAAAAATCAGATATATCTGCAGATTAGTTTACTGATTAATTAAGGTCTAAAAAACTCAAGATCTTAAAATTTTCGATTTTCATTATCAGATATTGAATGGCAAACACTTTGCTCTTCGTTTTTTAGTAACAAGAATTGTTTAAATTACGTTTTCTATTTTTTTCTATTTACGTTTTCTGTTAGCTTCATCATTTACTTCAAATTTCTTAAATATTTAAGTAATTACAAGAACTTGTCAGGTTGAAAGATGCTAAAAACGTTGCTCATTTGATTTGGATGGTTAGTTAAAAAAAATAGGCGTAGCCGCTAAGGCAGGGGAGCTTCCCCACAACCTGTTCTATCCATTGAAACCGAATTTTCAGATTTGGGAGTGTAGTTTTTGAAAAAATTTTAAAACTCCAAAAATATGAGTCAGAAACTCCCCCACCTACTTTTTCGAAGGCTGTACAAATAGGGTAAGTTAAAAAGAGATTGAAAAGTATGCATACACACAGAGGAGTGAGCGGACTTCCCATTGATATCATTTTTTTGAAAATCGGAAGCATCTCAAAAAAATCATAAAAAAACTTTAAAAAAAACCCAACAACAACAACAACAGAAAGACTTAAATTCCTTCCATGAAGGTATAAAGAAATGTAATAACAAAATCAAGACGTACAAGTAGAACAATTACAGTTAATAAACCAAGAGCACGAGTTTTGCATTGAGTATGCATTCGCTGTGATATTGAATAGAAATGTTTTAATGTTTCTCCTGAAGGTAGCGGGACTATCATAAATGTCGATTCCAAGACCAGGATGGGCGAGAAAATGATTCGCAAGTTTCACCACCCGATTAAAGAAGGACTCCCCAGTTCGTCGTTTCCTATTGCGTCGGATCTCAAACATAACTGTATCGGAGGATCGGTGACCGGTCATTTCCGGTGCATAAGAGACAAAGTGGAACAAATCAAAATCTAATTTGTCGTTGAGAAGTTTGTTGAAAAGGGTGAGATCATTGAGTTGGTGGATGAGAGAAATAGGCAACATATTTGTCACACGGAGTAGAATGTTTTAAGGAGCTGTGTAGTTGCGTGTACTCCATCTGAGCGCTCTACATAGGAGCGCTTCTAGCTTGCGGATACTGGTAAGGTCTGGGAACCAGGTTTGAGAAGCATAAAGAATAACTGAGAGAACACATGACTTATAAAGTTGGAGATTGGTAGTGGTGGGGCAGGTAATTGGGATGTTTTTTTCAACACGAACAAACTCCTGTTGGCTGAAGCTAACTTTTTTTCAATATGCGGTCTCCACGACAGGTCATCGGCCACCCATACACCAATGTCTTTGATGCAAGAGACGGTCGATATCTGATGATTTCCAATTGTGAGTTGATATGTGTCGTCAGTTTTTCCGAATAACATCATTTTACACTTGTCTGGGTGAAAAGTCATTGAGTTCTCGATAGACCAAGCGAGGAAATTATCAATATCGTGTTGTAGATTCTTTGCTATGGGTGATTCTGTCGAAATCATTTTGCTATCATCGGCAAACAGAAAACAGTCGGAGCATTTACAGTAGTCTGGGAGGTCATTAATGAATAACAACGGACCTAGGACGCTCCCTTGAGGAACACCACTAGTAACCGAAGCAATGTAAGAGAGAACCCCGCTAATGTTCACACATTGAGTTCTGTCAGCGAGGTAACTCCGGATGAGTTCAATGAAACTTGGGTCGAGGCCCATTTTTTTCAGTTTGTGCAATAAAACGACATGAGGCACTTTGTCAAATGCTTTTTGAAAATCGAAGTATACCGCGGAGGGCTTCTTATTGTTCTCAAGTTGATTGCAGATATTGTCAAGATAGGCTAGTAGTTGAGTAACCGTGGATCGATGTTTTCGGAAGCCGTGTTGTTGCTTGGCCAACTGCGACTTTATTCTAGGATAAAGAAAGTTGAAAATTAGTTGCTCCAGAATGAGAGAGAGCCGAGGTAGAATGCTAATGGGGCGATAATTGGAAATAAGAGACCGAGAGCCATCTTTGAAGGTAGGTGTTATGTAACTGCATTTCCATGTAGTGGGCCACACACAAGAGGATAGAACAAAGGAGAAAAGAATGTAAGCAAAAGGGGCTAATACTGCTGAGGCGTTGTGATACAGGCAGGACGGAAGGCCATCGGAAGACTGAGAATGTGAATCAGGGCATTTCGACAAGAGTGTTTCAACTTTTTTTACATCGAAGTTTAAATCATTCAGAAATCTACTGGGTTGTTGGTCACCAGGTGGTTCAGGATTATCTGTTGTGATTGGATTAAACACGGAAGCGAAAAATCCATTGAAAAGATCGGCTTTGTTCCGGTCATCGGTTGCGAATTTAGTTTCCCAGGTGAGTTTAGATGGCAGGGGGGCTTTCCCGGAGAATCGTTTCAGAAACTTAAAAGCTTCTGATGTAGACATCCAGCAGATGTCTTTTAGCAGAACGACTTTATCGAGCTCTGCCGACTCGAGAAAATTGTTTCTTGTAGCGTGTAGGAACTCTTCATTGAAGATTGAGTTCAATTTGTGCTTCTTCCTCTCCAAGGTTTCTAGTTTATTAAGCATGTGCATTGTGTGAGAGGAATAATAAAAAGACCTAGTGGCGCGTTTCTTGCGTTTACGAGGGACCGTAGAAGAAAGTGCATTGTGGACCATACTAATCCATTCTGCACTGAAATCATTCGGAGACATACAGTCAATGGCCTGTGCCACACGAGTAATGGGTGGGAGGGATAGGGCGAAACGTTCAGGATTGAAGGAGCTCCAGGCTAGCTGTTGGTTGGAGATGACGGCTGTATTGTAGTGGCTTTTCGAGAGTTGAAACAGTACACCAGCATGATCTGATAGGTTGCTCCATTTCGGGTTTTCGATGAGTTCTATTATATCAGTGTTGGTTACTAGTATAATATCCAGAAGATTGCCTTGTTTGTGGGTCGGGAAGGACAGAACTTGTTGGAGATTATTCTCCGGGCACCAGTTAAGGAAAGGAAGGTCAACAGCTTTGGTTGATTGATAGGTCGGCCAGTCAATATCAGGGAAATTGAAGTCACCGAGTATTAAAGTTTCATAGTGAAGACTATTTGAGGAATTGAAAGATTCTGCAAACAGGGTAAAATATTCAGATAAACAGCTACTCAGAGTCTGCGGCGAAATAGCATAGTTGCTGCTTCTTGGCGGATTATAAACCGTGATAATCAACAACATTGTAGAGTGGAATGTGATGGTACAGGCACAGGCAAAGTCTTTGTTAACTCCAATGCTGGTGAAGTCAACACTATTAAATACGGAATTATTGGCAGCAATGAGGACGCCTCCGTGCGCCCCATTTGTTCGATCTGACCGACTGATAATATTATAGTTGCTCGCAGGAAAAACACTCATATCAGGGTTGGTTACTATCTAGCCATGTTTCTGATAGTAAGAGGATATCAGGGTTGTAAGAAGTGAAAAAATTCAGATATGCTAATCTTCTCTGAAGACTAAGAAGGCTTTGGACATTCATCATCATCAGGGAAATATTGTTCCTCGGAGTTGTCAGTCACAATTGAGAGATTGTGGAATGGAGAGTGTCAACATCGGCTAGTGCGTCAAGCTGTTTGTCTTTATAGTAGAGAGTAAGATTTTTGATTTTCATGTCTTCTTTCCTGATGCCCTTTTGAGAGAGAAGGTAGCGTGTTTTAAGCAGTGCTTCCTCTTTTTTTCTTTCTTCTTTGGTGCAGTCGCCTCGAAGGAAGAGTCCTTGACCAGGCCAGAGGAAGCCTTGACCCGTTTGGCGGTTATTGCATTGTGAAATTGGACGATGAGAGGACGAGGCTTTCTTGCGTTTTTGATAAATGAGCCTCTACGGTATACATCAGTGATGACAGCATCCGCACACTTCACAATCTTCAGAACTTTTTCTACATTTGAGTTTTCTTTGAGGAGTCTATCAGATGGAGACTTGAAATCTGTCACTTCGGGCACGTTCAGTATTACTACTGATTCTTTTCGATGTTCATCGTTGTCAGGAGGAGGAACATCAGCTGGTTTTGTGGTGGAGGTTAATCCATTGACTTTGGTTGTGATTTCCATCAGAGACTTTTTCACTCCTTTGCTTTCACTTTTGGCTTCTGCTGAACAAACTGCTTTGACCTGGGTGGAAAGATCATTAATGGAATTTTCAAGTTTGGGAATGTTCAGTAGAAGTTCTTGGTGCCTGTTTGCCGTTCGTAACTGTGATATGGACTCCCGTAGGAGGCATAGTAGTCTTTCTTTGGTTTGCTTGGATGTGATTTTATTGAAGTGTTTGGCGTTGGCGTGTACAAGTTCTTCTATTGTTGGAAAGTAATCGCGTTTCTGTTGACCATCCATTGCAGTGCAAGAAGATAATCCAGTAGGAAGAGAGGAATAAGAATAAGAAGTGAATGAGAGAAGGTAATACGAGAGGATACCGCCTGCAGACGCAAACGTCCAAACTACAGGGATTCAAAAGTCCAAAAAGTCAAACTCCAAAAGTCGTCGGCCGTATCCAAGGGATAGCTCCGGGGGTTGCATGGAGGACGTAGGTCCGACAAACACTGTTTCCGGAGGTGACAAGGAGCAGCTCGTTCACAATATCGTGCCACAGGATTATATTTTCTGATTTAGGGATAAATTTTGCTCGATTTTGGACAATTTTGGTTGTGTCTTTCGCCACTTCTCGAGGGAATGATGTAGAGAGCTTGCTCCAATAACAATAACCATTTAATTTATTAAGGGCCACCACGGCTGCCCTTTCAATTCATAATAACCTGAAACTATTTAATAAGTTTATCACATACAATCCCATACATTTTCATAATACCTGTTTTTATGAAACGGAAACTTTTTTGTAGTTCATACATGTTGCTCTTATTTTGGGTAACGTTTCCCGGCATTGCTGAAAACACGCTCAGACGAGGTACGCATAAAAATTTCTGCGCCAAAGTAGTGTGTCTTGATACTTAGTGTAAACAACTCAACATGCATGTCAAATATGGCCGAATATTCGCCAGAGCCTTCAAAGGTTTTTCTTCGAACAAACGTTCGAACATTCGGTTGCACCAATATCACTCATTTCATGATTATTCAAGGTAACTCTTTCCGTTTTCTTAAGGTATCCTCCCATTACAAATGTCATTTGAATGACAGTAGGAAATGAACTTCAACAACACTTGCAAAAGCCAGCGTAAGAATCAAAACTGATTAGCTATCTTGCTCACCACAATGTTTTTCTTCTGATTGATTTCCTGTGAAGCCTTGTTGCGCATGTATGGTGGCACGTATTTGGATTCGGTCGCCTCCTGCACTTTCAGATCTTGAAGCGATAGCGCAGTGAAGTTGATTTGCCTGGGCGGGAACTGCTCTTTCCGCCTATTTTGCCAGCCCACCTGCCACAACTCACAAGTAGAACCTCTCGGCTTCACCCCCGAACACATGAGGCTCTTGCCCATGTAGTTATATATCGCCCACTTATTGTCCACCTTGAGAGTAGGTGAGTGGGTTGCTAGAAGTATCCTTTCACCACAAGGAGACCAGTCAAACATAGTGATATCTGCAAAGTCTACTATTTTTGCCACCAGGCTCAGTGACGCTCGATGCCAGATCTCAACGTTACTGCGGACGGATCCGTGTCCATATAAAGCAAGCAGATGACCTTGAGGAGAGAATCGACATGCAGAGCGCAGCCCGGTTCCGAAGTCATAGACTGAGTCGCAATTGGAGTTGAAGAGGGATGCCTTGGAAGGCATATCTACACAAGACACAATTTACGCTATAATTGATAGAACTCCACTTTTTCTTTCAATAAATGGTCACGTTTATTGAAAGAACAGACAAAATTTCTTTATAAAGACTAAAACTTGTGTAAAAACATAGCCAATAGAAAATGGTAAATGAACACAAGAAAACAAACAAAAATGATGAACATTTCTAACTTTCATTTTTATGATACGATACTTAAAAATCACCTCAAAACTCAGAACTTCAAAAATTTGGCTTATTCTTTTTATTCGGCTGTAAGAAAAATACTTTCGAAACTTTCAAAAAGTTAAATGTCGAAAACTTGAATGAAAACTCGAAAAATGAATTGAAAAAAATTTTTGGTTCCCGAAATGACGCTGAAAGGTCTCAGGGCTTAAATTAAGAAAAATTAAGCTGTTGTAAGCTTGCTTGCTCACCTTATTCGCTCAAACTTGAAAAAAACCTCAAATTTTAAACCGGCTTTTCTCGATACTGAGAAAACTTTTTCATGTTCAAATCACGACTGAAAATGCTTCAATTTGGGTTATCACTCGACCCATTCCGACGAAAATTTGTGGTACCTGAAATTGCGCGGAAAACAAAAAGAAAATTATACAAGGATAGCCGGTTCCTGTGCAACAAGCACAGAATTTTCCGACCATAGTCTATAAAAAAAAACTTTTTTTTTAAATTATTGACGTTTTTCTGCGTGGTGTAAGAAAATGATCTGAACTAAAAGCTGAGTCATAGTAAAATACGCAAATTGAAGAACGATTTTTGACGTAGGCGAAGCTGCGCTTCGCAAACACTTGCGAGAACACGACCAAAAATCACGATCAAGCGAAATAAGAAAAAGTAGAAATACCCCCCGAATTAACAGAAACTCGGCTACGTGTAGGATTCGAATCTGCGACCTACTGAAATCAAAAGACTCTGAGTCTCAGGCACTATCCACTCAGCCATGCAAGCTTTACAAACCGGCAAATATTAGTCACGAATAAAGCAGCTCCATATGCTAATTAATTGTCAATGCCACTCAGCAAAAGTGCCCCCAATAACAAATAGACTCAATTTTGCAAATGATAATTTGGAATATAACAAACTGAAGGCATCCACACTAACTTTGCATGTAACAAATCCCAAAGCATAAAGCCACATTATGTATAAATTATGCATTTCGAAAAATTGCGAGATATATTGAGTTAGAAAACTTCTGAAAGCGAGTTTTCATGATTGTGATGTTGTTTGGAACAAACAGCTTTTTTCGGTTCGCTTGGTGAATTAAAAATGCATAAACTGTGTTAATTTATTAGTATTCGAATGTCAAAGCACATGCTATAAAAAAGCTGTAAAGTTGTCTCAGAAGTGGCTCCAATATTTGCGACTTAGGTCGGAAAAAAGAAGGTTCGTTATAATACACTAGCTTTGCTGTAGTGTAAAAAAACATGACAAGAAAAACAAAAAAAATCAATTTTTCATTGAAATTTTTGATTCCAAAAAGACGCTAAAATGCTTAAATTAATAATCTTACTGGAATGAATCTAAGTTTTTACGGCTAAAATTAAGCTATCGTAAGCTTTTAAGCCGGTAAAACAAATTCGCTCGAATTAAGACGAAAAATCACAAATTTTATACCGCTTTTTCTCAATTATTTTTATACCGGTTTTTCTGGAAAAGTTTGGTCAAAATTTTTTAATGTCGTTTGAATTACGACTGAAATGCTTTAATATGCTTCATTTCTCAACTCTCTCCGATGATTATTTGTGGTAGCTGATTTTGCGTGGAAAACAAAAAGAGATAAAACTCCCGAATATAAATTTCTTCCCCATTTTTCAAATGGTCGGAACAATTAGTTATTGAACCGGGCAAAATTTTTTATTATAAACAATCAAGTTGTATATTTTAAATTGCACGTTTTATGGTAAAATGCTTACGCCCGTAGACAACACAAAACTCATTTCTTCCGGGATCCCAGCTGATTTCATAAATAGGTCCTTCTTTCTTCAACTCCACTTTGTTTGCAGATCCCTCTGTAGACACATAGAACAAAGTCGTCTTCCCGTAGTACTCATTTCCACTCGTGTCTACTTCCTCCATGTTTTTCACAATTAGTGCAGTACCGTTCCAGTTCCAGTGCAGAGTGGCCTTGTCCCCTACCATTAGTCTCTTGGTCGACATAGGTTGGTTCTCATTTAAATCAGGGTACCTCAACACCTGTGCAAAATATTTGGCTTATCCAATCAAAAAGCTGAACTGATTGGAATTAATCGCTCATGTGAATGTCATTATTTTAATGGAGATGTTAAAGCAGCCCTCACATGAGCATTAATTTTATGTTTTAAATAAATGTTTGTACAAGGCTAGGTATTCAAAACAATTGTGTTGCAAATAGCCTGGCTAGCCCGCACGCCAAGTTTTGTAATCCTAAGCTTAAAAATGAGCCAAAATTTTACCAGTTAAATATTTACCTTGACTACATTAGGCGCTCCCTTTTTGCTTCTTCCAATATATATGGCGACGTGGTTAGGGGCTGAGGGAAACATGTGGACTAGTGCCAAGCCGGGTATATGCAGTTTGTACTTTGGCTGGGAGAAGTCCCCATCTTGGAAGAACAGCGCGTGGTCCTTGAAGAAGCGACAACAGATCCTCTCGTCACATGAGAACTGCGGCTGCCAGTGTGCAAAGGTTCCCTGGGTAAATTTGGCAACCAGGTGTCCTCCGAGCAGAGAATATATGCCGATGTTATCCTTGTTGTTATTCGCTACAACAAACACGTTTGATTTTCAATTCAAACTTTTGAATCCATAACACATTCAATGGACGCGATGGCTTGTAAAAAAAAACAACGCTCAAAAGGGATGGTCGATAGTGCTAATTGAAATTATGGGTGACAAATTTTGAAAATCCTTTTTCGATATATTTGATAACATCCCTGTACTAAATTTTTGTAACGTTGCCGAAATACACTACATTTTAGAAGGAGCCTCTAAGATTCAGTAAGAGCTCGAAAAGCCAAGATTGCTGATTGAAATGAAGTGTCAATAAATTTTTCAAAAATCAACTCTGACGAAAAAATGCTGAGCAAAATACTTGAAAAAACGCTTAGGGCTGATAGATATAAAAATTTTCTGTACGTGCCATTGCTGAATGGTTCAAAAGTTGAGATGTAGGTGTTGTTGGGGGAGAACTCGATGCTGATGACACGTGACTTGTCGACTTGCAGCTGAACTGCGAAGTCTGCGTAGACATCCAACACAAGCAGATTCTGCGAGTTGCACCAAGCCATGTACTTGCCATCTGCACTCCACGCAAACACCTGGTTGGAGCTCTTTTGCGCTACATTTCTACATAAACACAACCGAACCATTTCAAATAGCTTTTTCCATAAAAATTAACTTTACATAATTTGTGTGTCCTAAATACTTTGCTTTTACAAAAAAAAGGAATATTGAATTGAATTGGTTCACAGATTAAAGCTATTTCATTATCAAAAACCAAACTGAGTGAATGGCATATACTGATTAAAACGAACATTTGTATCATGGGAAACATTATTCATTACACTGCAAACTACAAATTATATTCATATTTAACTTAAAAACGAAACATAGAGGCGAAGCGGAGCTTCGCACTACTTGCAATACAACACAAACAAAAGAAACATGAGTCGAAAATTTATATGTTGAAAATTTAAATGAAAAAAAAATAGATGAACCAAAATTTTCGTATGTCTCGATACAAAACAACTAGGGGCTCAGCTAAAGCTGGAGGTACGTGCTTGATACTGAATGAATTTGCTATACTGATGCGGCACAAAAAATTGGACTTTGCCCAAAACCTTAGTTGTTTCTCTACTAAAATAAGTGAAAAGAGTATAAAATTTTGAGATAATCAATTTTACCGAGGAGATGACATGTCTTACGAAATATTAAACAGTCACCGCTTCTGCAAGAACAATTATCACAACCGGTTTTTTTCATCTCAGATATTATTGTTAAAATTTTAAGAAGCTCAAAAAATTTCTAAAAACGTTCAGACGATTTTCTGAAATCCATAAATTTTTTCTGCAAAAAGCAGGTTGTAGCCGCTTAAGCTGAGAAGCTTCTCAAAACTGGGTTTCTCGATTGAACAAAACGTGAAAATTGGCACGGCAGTTTTCGCGTAAAAACCAAAAATTTCTACAAACAACATGAAGTTTCAAAACGTTGACTTGTTTGAAGGCCTCAACTTTTTTCTTACACAAACCGGACATAGCCAATTATATACGTCGGCTTTCAACAACCAAAAAACGGTCAACAAATCAAAATTTTGACATTTCCGAGAATCGCAGCTTTTGTGTGAAAATAGGGCGTAGCCGCTTATGCCGAAAGAATTCGAGCAGCCTGTATTTTCCATTGAACCTAAAATGTCAGATTTGGGAGGGTAGTTTTCGAGAAAAAAACTTTCAAAAAAATGGTCAAAAACTCTAAATTTCCGAGGGCCATAACTTTTTGTATCAGAAAAATTTGGGCGTAGTCGCATAAGCAAATAAGCTTCTCACTTCCATTTCTTTGAATTGAAACCAAAATCTCAAATATGGCAGGGAAGTTTTCGAGAATATTCATAACGTTTAAAACAGTCAAAAAATCAAAAATTTGACTTTTTCCGAAGTGGATAACTTTGTGTAAAACAATTTCTGAGTGACCGCTACAGCAGGAGAGCTTTCCACTAACCGATATTTCCATTACACTCACAATATCAGATTTCAGAGGTTATTTTTCGGTAAAAGTCAAAAAGTCTCACAAAATGGTCAAATAAAAAAAACTGACAATTCCGATGGCCATAACTTTGTGCAAAAAAATTGGACGTGCATATGCAGGAGGCTTTTCAAAACCGTTCTATTTAATGAAACCAAAAACTCAGATTTAGGTTTTTGAGAAAACGAAAAAAAAATCAAAAATATGGGTCAAATATTACCCCGCAAAAATATGGTCAAATATTCCCCCACAGACTTTTTGGAGAATGTAGACAGAGGGGTCAAGTAAAAAGACTCTAGAGGAATTGAAACCCCTTTTTTGAAAATCAAAAGAAGTATGAGAAAAACTAAAAATTTTCCAATAAATTTAGAAATGATTCACCAAACCGATTCCGTAAACATACCAACTTGAAGTGAGGAGAAGAGTTTCAAATTTGCTTTCCCTTGATACAACCCGAAATTGGGCTATTAAGCCGATAACAAATGGCTGAATTAATTTGGGCCGAGGAATTTTTTAGCGAAACAAAAAACGAAGAACGAAATACGAAGTCAAGGTAGGTTAAATTACATATTGTAGTGGTAAACCAAACACTGAAAACAACTTTACAGAAAAACACGCTCAGCAAAAAAACGATTTTAATATGTGACAATTAATCCGACAATAGATAAGCAGACAAATAATTGGCCGACAATTATATTTCAAACAAATATTTCCCGTTAGAAAAAAACGGGTCCTGGTCAGATTCGAACCCAGGACCTTTGCCGTCTAAGGCATACTCGTTACCTCCAGGTTAAGTTGGCTGGGAACGCACAGAAGTTTCAACTCAATATGAACGAAGATGCACGTGATTCTGTCAAACAAGTTGTTAACCCGAATAAAATGTCTATACTTCAATTTGATAACGCTAGCTAATCGCAAGCTAATAGCTGAACAAAGCCTTCATGTCCTTTCTAATTTTCCTGTCGAGGACATAAGGTCGTCTTAAAAAATCGCTGATCGTGAAAAAAAAATGCGTGAAAAAATACAAGACTTGTTAGCGCCGCAATTAATGAAAACTCGTGAGGCGACAAATCGTAACAGCCCTCAATTCGTACTCAGCTACAATTCGTAACCAGCGACAATTTATAACGGTAGAATGAGGGCCTTACATCGATTCACCCGCACAATTTCTCTCTTGCCGAATGCAAGCGCAGTGCAGCAAGCGTTCGCTACCTGTCTTGTTACAAGTTGTCGCGTCGCTGTTACGAATTTTAGCCCCACCGATTCTTGCCTCCGTCATATGATTGTCCGCATTTTAGTAAACCTAATCATTTCCGTTATGGATACCGAACGATTTCTGATCATAGCCCAGTTAACCTTGAATACGTTTAAAAACAAATTCTCAATAAGGTATGACGCTCAGAAATTTGGAAAGCCAAAGTTGCCTCATCCTTGTGAATGTTGAAAAATAAAATTGAGCATTCACAGCAAATGTTTAAGGAAGACCTTGAATGAGCGTATGAAAGATTTGCAAGTTGCCTAATAGAATCACTTCGTTGCTCGCTTCTTAATAAATTAATGTAACAGACAGATGCAAACACTAGCAAGAACACGACAAAAAGCAGCTCTAAACAATGAAATGAAAAAAAAAGTAGAAATAAACCTCGAATTAGTAAAATTCGGGTAAGTCTCGTATTCGATCCTGCGAACTAGCACTTATGAGTCTCACGTACTAGCCTCTCAGCTATGTACGCTTGCTATTTCACAAACATCAGCCACAAATAAAGCAGAGAAAAAGAAAGGTTCGTACGAATACCCTACGCTCCCAATCTGGCTAATGTAAAAATACTTAAATTATCCTTATAATAGTAGCACCAGAACTTTGGGTGGACTCAGCCGAAGTTATTTACTTCAACATGAAATGAAAAAAAAATCTGCAAAAATATTACAGAACATAAACTCTTCAACGATAGATATAGAACTATAAATGAAGTATAGTTCCACGTTGACAATGTTGACGACATTACATTTCATAAAATTGAGACGCTGCCCAATAAATTTGTTGAACTTTATAAACAGGCCACCCATAGCAACTGAAAGCGACTAACAATTAAATTAAAGATGAATGTACATAAAATTTAGGAAAACTCTCCCGCATTACATAATCAGGCTGAAGCAGCAATAAGTCAGATAAGAAAAACAGGTTTGGCCATTGAAAACGGAGACATAGTATTTTTCAAATGAGTGGACAAAGACCGCTGGAAAGGACCTGGCAAAGTTATTGGCAAAGATGGTAAGGTTGTTTTAATCAAAGAAGGAAATTATGTTTTAAGAGCGCTCGAAACGAGAGTGGTCTCTCGAAAACCAGAAGTTTAAGCTTTTTCAACGTCTGCCAGTTATTGTTCAAATTCAATGCATGTTAGTAGCAACACAAAAGACTAGACGGGCAAGTTAAGTGACTTAGACGACGAGTCCATACAGTCAGCCGTTTTCGACGCTGACACTCTAGAATCGTGCGAGAACGCGTCTACAGAACAGAGTTTGAAGAACTTGCACTTGAGACTAAAACAGAAGTTGATTCAGGAACCATTGGATTTGAAGTTAAAAATATGCTGAAAAATTTTGATTTATTTAAGAAAAATCAAGTTGTTCAATACAAAATAGACAAAAATGATTGAGACTAAAACAGAAGTTGATTCAGGAACCATTGGATTTGAAGTTAAAAATATGCTGAAAAATTTTGATTTATTTAAGAAAAATCAAGTTGTTCAATACAAAATAGACAAAAATGATTTGTGCTTTCAACTCTTGCTGTCTTTCACAAATCATTTTTGTCTATTTTGTATTGAACAACTTGATTTTTCTTAAATAAATCAAAATTTTTCAGCATATTTTTAACTTCAAATCCAATGGTTCCTGAATCAACTTCTGTTTTAGTCTCAAGTGCAAGTTCTTCAAACTCTGTTCAGTAGACGCGTTCTCGCACGATTCTAGAGTGTCAGCGTCGAAAACGGCTGACTGTATGGACTCGTCGTCTAAGTCACTTAACTTGCCCTTTGAGTCTTTTGTGTTGCTACTAACATGCATTGAATTTGAACAATAACTGGCAGACGTTGAAAAAGCTTAAACTTCTGGTTTTCGAGAGACCACTCTCGTTTCGAGCACTCTTAAAACATAATTTCCTTCTTTGATTAAAACAACCTTACCATCTTTGCCAATAACTTAGCCAGGTCCTTTCCAGCGGTCTTTGTCCACTCATTTGAAAAATACTATGTCTCCGTTTTCAATGGCCAAACCTGTTTTTCTTATCTGACTTATTGCTGATTCAGCCTGATTATGTAATGCGGCATTGGTTTCGTGCTTAGGTCTCCAATCTTTTAACTTGCTTCAATCAATACACGTTTTACCTGCACAATCTTCGACATTCAACCAATTTTTGTGTTTTCCGGACGCTTTTCTACCTCTGCTTTCAACTCTTGCTGTCTTTCAGAGGTAGAAAAGCGTCCGGAAAACACAAAAATTGGTTGAATGTCGAAGATTGTGCAGGTAAAACGTGTATTGATTGAAGCAAGTTAGAAGATTGGAGACCTAAGCACGAAACCAATGCCGTGTCGTTGAACCAGGTGATA